TGTGAATATGACTGAAAAATTTCATTTTTTCTGAAAAGGTGGTGTCTATTTACTTGTGACCACTCAGTGTATAAGGAATATATGTGAGTGCTGACCTCTGGTGGCTTTAGCTGTTGCTTAAGCATAAAAGCTAAGACGCTGTTTTGGTGTTCTAACTCCTGGACCCGTTCTTCTAATCTTTGACATTCTTCTCGTAAGTTCTGTAAACGAAAAGAACATCATTTTGACCAAGATCAAAGTTATTTTACTAGATGTTGTAGGATAAAAATATTCAACACGCTAAGTGCTTTGACAGTTAGAAGTTCAAACTGTTTCTTTACAAATGTATAAAAGAAATATGATCAATTAAACCTATCGTATTGAGTAAATAATATACGTTCTTTGATGAAGAGTAAAACATTTCATTACATATTACTTATTTAAATCAGACATCTTAAAATTTCTTCAGATTCTAATGCAAAAAGGGAATAAATAATTAAACTTTATTTTCACAAAAGAATAAACGACCCATTCTTATTATTCAACAATTCTCGCAGCGACATCTATAAAATGAAAAACTTTATATATAACTAGTTGGAGTACCAGTCCCTTGGACGGAAGTTATGTGAATTCATGATTAATGAAAGGTTATCTTAGGACGTGAAAAGCTGCTTCCCTTATATGTAAGCAGATCAATCAACACCATTAAATAAAATATTTAGAAAACTTCTTCTCTCCCCCGTAGCAGGCTTAGGAGTGTCAGTTAAAAGAGCTGCAATCCAACTGGAGCTGTTTTAAAATGGCCAGGTTAGATGAGTGTGAAGTAACAGTAGAAAAACGAAAAAAAAAAACCCATAAAAACTGCAAAACACAAAGTGTGAAAGCGCAAATTTGCATTGCTAAATTTGGCGAAGAACCATCAACAGTGGCCGAAGTAGTGGTAAAAAGGACCCATAAAAGGCGTAAAAGGCAAAGTTTAAAACTGAAAATTTGTATGTATCTCCGCATGGACCTAACGAACCTCCATACCAATTTTGGTGAAGACCCATTCACATCCTGCGAAGTAGTTACATGGACAGACAACACTATTATATGTATATAGATATACATAAATTTAGTTGTTTGTAAATATTTCGAAAAAAAGATGGATGTGAACACCAAATTTGTATTTGTTCCAATTAATTTTGAGTGGATAGTGATAAATTACGAACCTCAATTTCAAAGATTTATAATTTTTTTAAAAACAGTACCTTATGGATCATGTATGTAAGTGGTCATTTACAGCAATTAATACGCCCTAATTTTATATGTAAAATATAGTAATAAAATACAGTAATTTGACATTAAGTAGCATTTCATTTCACAGTTTTAAAGTTGAATATATTTCTAAATATCCAAGAAAAATTTCACAAATTGAATTCCTGAAATATCTTATTACGGTATTGATCAAGGTACTGAAGAAACTAAATAATGGATAACTGATATAGAATAACTAATGTAAAAGCTGAAAATCATGCACAGTACCCGAAAATCAATGTCGTCTGGTCACCTAAATTATTTTCTTCAAAATCCCTTGACAGAGTTTAAAAGACTCGCGTAAATATTTCAGTTATTTTTCTCTTTAGTTTTTAGATACTAAAACATGTAGACAAACCAGTGAAGACGTTTTAGATGCTAAAACATATGAACAAACCAGTGAACACGTTATAGATGCTAAAACATATGAACAAACCAGTGAACACGTCATAGATGCTAAAACATACGAACAAACCAGTGAACACGTTATAGATACTAAAACTTATGGACAAACCAGTGGACACGCTTTAGATACTAAAACATACGAACAAACCAGTGAACACGTTACAGATACCAAAACATATGAACAAACCAGTGAACACGTTATAGATGCTAAAACATATGAACAAACCAGTGGACACGCTTTAAATACTAAAACATACGAACAAACCAGTGAACACGTTACAGATGCTAAAACTTATGGACAAACCAGTGGACATGCTTTAGATACTAAAACATATTGACAAACCAGTGGACACATTCTAGATACTAAAACATATGAACAAACCAGTGGACACGTTATAGATACTAAAACGTATGGACAAACTAGTGAACACGTTATAGATACTAAAACTTATGAACAAACCAGTGAACACGTTATAGATACTAAAACGTATGGACAAACCAGTGGACACACTCTAGATACTAAAACATATGAACAAACCAGTGAACACGTTATAGATACTAAAACTTATGGACAAACCAGTGGACACGCTTTAGATACTAAAACGTATGGACAAACCAGTGGACACTTTAACCACACCTTTTGTCCAAGCAAGGCCTGTACTACTTGGTTTGCTACTTCATCGAGACAACGTTCATATTGCAGTCTCTGGTTTTCGTTCTCCTGGCGTAGCAAGGAGTTCTCTTGGTCCAGGAGCTTAAGACGTTCTAAGAAGTGCTGAGTAACGAGATTTTCTTTTTCTTCTCCAGGTTTCTCTTGTTCCTACAAACATTTAAATATGGCGAATTATTTTTCATTTTTAAATAGCATCGTCATTCCTCGTCAAATGATACTTTCTACTTTAAAAAAAAAAATCAATTCAAATTGATATCAGATGTGATTCAATGAAGGAAATGAGGGTTTCTGCATTTTCAATTTCGCTATCCTGCAGTGACGAAAAGTAAGGATTAACTTAGAGGATATTTAGAACTTTTGGTAAAGATTATTATAGAGAGGATGATTCATAAAGCTCACTTCATTAAGAGTTCAAATTTTAACTATGCGATGCTAAAATTTCACTACTTGATGCTTAAATACACTATTATGATGAGTATAGGACCTAGCCTGGCATGATGATTAGGGCGCTCTACCCGCAACCTGAGGGTCACGGGATCGAATCCTATCATAGAACATGCTCGCAACTTTCAGCAGCAGAGGCTTTATAATGTGACGGTCAACTACACTATTCGTTGGTAAATAGTCTTCCATGACTTGGCGGCGGTGGGTTGTGCCGACTGTCTGTATTCGCTCTAGTTTATCACTTTAAAATTAGGGAGGGCTAACCGCAAATAGCCCTTGAGTAGCTTTGCGCGAAATTACACAAACAAACTATAGGTATGTGAATCTA